AGGTAAAGCCTCTCCCTGTGCACCCATCACACCTGTCTTGGGAGATTGCCTCTTAACCCTAGCATCACCTGGGGGGCTTGTAAAAGCTATCAATGCCCGGCCCTAGCGGCGTTTTCAGTGGTTAGTGTCGGCCTGAGCACTGAAGGATCTCCGGTTCGGTTCCCAGTCAGGGGCATTTACCTGGGTTGCTCCCTGGTCGGGGCATGTGCGGGAAGCAAACAGTCCATGTGTCTCTCTCACATCAATGTCTCTCTTTTGCGCTCTCTCTCTCCCCCCACCCCCTCTCTCTCCCTCCCTCCCTCCTTCCACTCTCTTTAAAAATCAACGGGAAGACCTAGCTGGTTTGGCTCAGTGGATAGAGCATTGGCTTGCGAACTGTTCGATTCCAGCCAAAAGCACATGAGGGGTCTCCGGCTCAATTCTGGCCAAAGGCACATGCTGGGTTGTGGGCTTGATCCCCAGTAGGGGCTTGCAGGAGGCAGCCAATCAATGATTCTCTCTCATCACTGATGTTTCTATCTCTCTCTCCCTCCCTCCCTCCTTCCACTCTCTTTAAAAATCAACGGGAAGACCTAGCTGGTTTGGCTCAGTGGATAGAGCATTGGCTTGCGAACTGTTCGATTCCAGCCAAAAGCACATGAGGGGTCTCCGGCTCAATTCTGGCCAAAGGCACATGCTGGGTTGTGGGCTTGATCCCCAGTAGGGGCGTGCAGGAGGCAGCCAATCAATGATTCTCTCTCATCACTGATGTTTCTATCTCACTCTCCCTCTCTCCCTCTCCCTCTCCCTTCCTCTCTGAAATCAATAAAAATATATTTTTTTAAAAATAAAATTCAATGGAAAAAGTACCCTCAGGTGAGGATTAACAAAACAAAAACATCAATGTCTAGATCTCACCACCAACCAGAGTCTCCCAGAGCAGCCCTGGGCATCAGAGATTTGTACAAGCTCGTCTGGTGATTCTTCTGCGCAGCCAGAGCACCACGAGCTTGGAGTAAGACCCCAACCTGGGTAAGAAAGGACAACAGTGGCCCTGGCCGGGCGGGTCAGTTGGTCAGAGTATCGCCCCATCACTGAAAGGCTGTGGGTTCGGGTTTATTCCCCTGTCGGGGCAAGTACGGGAGAAAACTAATCGATGTTTCTCTCATATCAATGTCTCTCTCTCTCTCCCGCTCTCCAAAATCAATAAAAACATACCTTAGGTAAGGATTAAAAAGAAGGACAACAGTGGTAATGCATGAGCACCCACTAGAATCACTGCCTGAAAAAGGATGTAGTATTTCTCCATCCCCAAATGCTCTCTTCCTTGACCTAGCGAGCCAGCGAAAACACCTCATGGTTCATTCATGTCTTGGTATAACGTTTTAGGAAGCTGAGCCCTGTAAGTCCTCCCCGTGTTGTCCCTAACAATGCTGGGTAATTTTCTTTGTATAGATTGCACTCCGTGGGGCACGTCACAATCAGGGAGGCCCTATTGTAAGAGTGTTTTGGACTCAGAGCTGGATTCAAAACTATGGCTCTGCCACTTACTAGTTGAGGCCTCCTGAGCTAAGTGGAAATAACAGTATACACATTCAAAGTCTAAAAATCAGACTGATGTGCCCCAGCTAGGGGGCTGGGTTGGTTAGAGCATCAGCCCATGCACCAAAAGGTTTTGGGTTCAATTCCCAGTCCCGGTGGGTACAGGAGGGGACCCGTCGATGTTCCTCTCTTACACCAACGTTTCTGTCTCTCTCTCTCCCTTCCTCTCTCTAAAAATCAAGGGAGGGGACAGGTTTGGGTTTAAAAAAAAAATTAGATCCTACGGACAAAGTCACTCAGGCATAGAGCTGATTGTTAGGTCCCTGCCCACCCTACAACCTTATTCTCCCAGAGAAAGCCAAAGACGTTGAAGATATGAGAGCTGTGCGTAGGGTGGTCAACTGGAAACCAGCCGGCACACAGAGCATGGAAGCTTTCATTTTCTCTCTGCAGAATACCGCAAGCACACACACCCATGCCTCACATTCCACACACACCTCCCCCTCTTGACATTATAGCAGGAAAGATAGAGCTGCTACCCAAGGGAGCTGTTGCTTCTTGTCACACAAGCACAGATGCCAAAATCCTAGGACAGACAACACAGAAATGTGGCAGCAGCAGGCTGAGTCAGAGGAAGCAGAATGGACTCGCCTCCAAGACATACCAAGGCCCAGAGGGGAACCCATTTGAACCACTTGCCTCTTGGAGATTCCAAAGGGTGTGTGTGTGTGTGTGTGTGTGTGTTTTCAGGACCAATTCTGAGTTCAGCTACTCCACAGATGCTGGTTAGAGATGCGAATGCCCCCCCCGCCCCCCCAGCACACCCACCCTGAAGGGAGCAGAGAGCAGAGAAACATAAAAGCTGTGTTGTTGTTGTTGTTGTTTAATAGGGTTAGCTCTGGCAGGGGTTGCTCAGTGGTTAGAGTGTCGGCCCTTGGACTAAAGGGTCTCTGGTTCAATCCCATGCCCCGAGAGCAGGAGGCAGCCAATTGATGTCTCTCTCTCTCTCTCTCTCTCTCTCCCCCTCCTCCCTCCCTCCCTCTCCTCCACTCTATCTAAAAATCAATGAAAAAAATATCCTCAGGTGAGAATTTAAAAAAAGAAAGTACATATATAAGGTTTTATTTATTTCAGAGAGAAGAAGAGAGAGAGCGAAACATTGATGTGAGAGAGAAACACTGATAAGCTGCCTCCTGCCTACATACCCCCTAGTGGGAATCGAGCCTGCAACCCAGGCATGTGCCCTGACAGGGAATTGAACCAGTGACCTCCTGGTGCTTGAGCCAACACTCAACCGAGTCACACGGGCTGGGCAAAGCTGTGTTGTTTTTGAACCCAGCTCTGGCTTCCTCATTCTGGGGAGGCTTTCTGCTGCCCTTGGCTGCTCCTCGGGTGCTGCCAGGCTTACACTGTGACCTCCTGAGACGATGCTCTGTGGGAGACACTGTGCACTCTGAGCTTGTATTTTTACATAGAATCTCATTAAAGGGGCACCCTAGGCTGGGGCCTGAGGAGGAGAATCAATGAGGAGAATCTCTTCCTTGAAAACTTAACTTGAAGGCTCTGAATTTATTCACCACAGCATCCTGGGGATTAAAAAGAGCAGCCGAGGTGGTGGTGGTGGTAAGGATTTTATGGTCCTCAAGCTTCCTTTCCTGGCCTTCTCTTTATGCCAGCCCCTGTGCCTCTCTCTAGTACCTTTTTAAAAATATATATATTTTATTGATTTTTTACAGAGAGGAAGGGAGAGGGATAGAGAGTCAGAAACATCGATGAGAGAGAAACATCAATCAGCTGCCTCCTGCACACCCCCTACTGGGAATGTGCCCGCAACCAAGGTACATGCCCTTGACCAGAATCGAACCTGGGACCCTTCAGTCCGCAGGCTGATGCTCTATCCACTGAGCCAAACCAGCCAGGGCTCTAGTACCTTCTTATCCAGTCCTCCTCTAACTCCTCTCCCACCTCTCCCCATGGAGCCACACCAGCTCCCTAAGTGGACTAGCTCACAGAAATATTAAGGGATCAAAATAATCAAGTCGGTATTTTTTTATAACACACCAAGCTGGCATGATCATGGACATCATTTCTGGTGATCTGGAAGCCAAATAAAATACTGCTTCCCCCTCCCCCCAACCCCCGCCTCACCCCAGAATTGTACCAATTGTACCCGTGTTGGTTAATGTTCACTATTATGACTCTGGCAGCCTGCAAGGAAGGTTCAGGCGTGCCCTCTAAGTCATCATAAAAAGAGGTTCAGTAGATGCTTTCGTCAGATGTCTGCATGGCTTACTCTGTCACCTCCTTCAGCTCTTTCTTCAAATGTCACCTTCTTGAAGGCTTTCCCCAGTGACACTAAGGAAAATGGCACTCCACCCTGCTCCCACCAATCCCTTACCTTCCTGACCCCTAGTCCTGCTCTGTTATTCTTTGTAGCATTTATCAGCAACTCACATCATATCTATTTATTATCTGTCTTGCAAAGAAACAATAAAAAATATATTAAAAAATTTTTTTTATTGATTTCAAAGAGGAAGAGAGAGATAGAAACATCAATGATGAGAGAGAATCATTGATCGGCTGCCTCCTGCACCCCACACTGGGGATGGAGCCCACAACCTGGGCATGTGCCCTCACCGGAATCTAACCGTAACCTTCTGGTTCATAGGTCAGAGTTCAACCACTGAACCACGTGGGCTGGGCTCAATAAAACTATATTTAAAACAAAGAAAAGATCTTGAAAAGGTCTGAGTCTCCCTCCCTTAAAATGGGGGTGATAACACCTACGTCAGGTGTGGGTTATATTGGGTAATGTATGTGGAAGTGCTTGAGTGTAAAACAGATGCCTGAGGGTTTTGTGGGTAAATGGGTAAGTCCTGTTGACCCCGAGTGGGACTTTCCCACTGGCCTTGGGGATCCTGAAGGGAAAGCTGGCCATCTGGTGTACTTCCACCAAAGACGCTAAAGCCTGGCAAAGCCCGGCGCCGCTGGGAGCATTTGTGCTGCAGGCGTCTGTCCTGCTTCAGGTTTGCCTGTCTGTGTTTGGGAGACCTCAGCGGGGCCTGGGGCCATGGCTCCCCGGGAGGAGGCGGGAGTGGGCCGACCTGTTGGGCGCAGAGGGTCCCCCCAGAGCCGGCCCCATCGGCTCCCGCTGCTATAACTTGTCCCCGAGGCCCGATCGTATTTGTCCGCGTGGTACTTACCCGTAGTTAAGAGACAAAACTGGACTTTGCCTGTGTTTTCTGCTGCCCCCCGTTTAGCCTGCGCAAACCAAACCCGCAGGCCAGAAGGAGGGGACAGGCAGGGGGCTGGGCTGGGCTGGCCCGGGGCAAGGAGGACGGGCTCCGGACTTTCGGGAGGGAAAGAAGGGAGCTGGGAAAGGGGCGCGGGGTGTGGGGCGCAGGGAGGAGCGGGCGGGAAGGGACAGCGGGGCGGGCCCGGAGGAGGGCAGGGCCGCAGGGAACGGGCGAGGCGGGCGCGGGGCGGGGCGGCGGGAGGCGCTGTCAGCGCGAGGCGGCGAGCGGAATGCAGCGGCCCGAGGCCTGGCCACGTCCGCACCCGGGGGAGGGGGCCGCGGCCGCCCAGATCGGGGCCCCAGCACCGCCCGCCCCGGCCGGGGAGCCCGCGGGGTCGCGGGTATGGAGCAGGCGGGCGGGGCCGGGGGCCGGGGCGGCTGGAATCGGGGCCGAGGTGGGGAGGGGGGCATCTCACTCACAACTTGCACGCCCGGCGCCGGGACCTGGGTGCCACCCCCGAGCCGCCCAGGGAGGGGGCCGGGCCGGGCGGCGAGGAAAGTTCCTGCGGGCGCGGGCACGGACTCCCGAGGAGGCCTGTCCCGAGTCCGCGTGGGGCCGAAGTTCTGGATCCATTTGGAGCAGCGAGGGGACGGCTTGGGGGTGGGGTGGGTGGAGGTTCTGCAGGGAGGGAGGGAGTGGCGGGGGCGCCCGGGGGCGGCGGGCGGACGGGGGCGCGCTCAGAGAGGGGGTCCAGCCTGGACCCCGAGGTCAGCTGGAAGGAGGAGGCACCGCTGTCGCCCCGGCCCAGGTTCTGTGATACACTCCGACTCGGGCTCTGGAGCAGTCAGTGCATGACAGAACTTGGGCCCGGGCGGACCTTCCGCACACTGGGCAGAGCGCCCACCAGGGGCCTGCAGGGGCATCCGCTGGGAGTGGAGAGGCCCGGAGTGGGCCCCTGCGGGACAGGACTGGGCCAGCACCGGCTCTGGACCTTGTAGGCGCGGGTCACTGGAGCCTGAGCATGGACTCCCGGGGCCCGTAAAACCAAGGACAGGGCACCTGCCTTGAGTCAGGGGCCGACGGAGCTCCCCTCACCCCGACCCCGTGTCAGTTGCAGGAACCTTCCCTCTACACCATCAAGGCTGTTTTCATCCTAGATAGTGACGGACGCCGCCTGCTGGCCAAGGTAACCTCCCACCCTCACCCGAGGGCCCCTGAAGACTGTGCTTCTGTCCCCAAAACAAAAGTCCCCACGCAGCTGCCTCAGGAGAGACCCACTGTGGGTTCTGTGACTCAGAGCAGCTCCGCTTGGACCCTGCAAAGGTCACTCTGCCAGCCCCGTCAGACTGCTGAGCCCTGATTCTAACCATGTCCCCCGAAATGTCTCTGGTCATCCTTTCCGTTCGCCAGCTGGACCCTGGGCGCGGAAGGGACCTTCAGGGGTCAGTGGAGTGTTGAGCCTGGGACCCAGGAGTCCGGGTCCCCAAATTCTAAACAAGCAACCTCCGCTTTTCTTCGACAGCTTAGCAAACACTGAGGATTTGGTCTGAGGAGTCTAAGAATTTAGATCCAGGCAGGATTAGAGAGCACAGAATCCAGCTCTTTCACAAATGAAGGAAATGCGGCCTGGTCTAGAGAAGCTAAATGAGTTGCCTGCAGTCACAAGGGTTAATATCAGAGCAGCGATCTGAACTCCAGTATTCTGGCTTGGAGCTCAGAAGGGTGGCTTTCCCTGCACAAACTAATCAGTTATGCGGTATCTATCCCAGTAAACATGGCCTAGGATAATCTACATAATAAAAGCCTAAGCCACCCTTATGGCGGAACGACCAGAAGGACCAGAACAACCGGTCGCTATGATACACACTGACCACCAAGGGGCAGATGCTCAACGCAGGAGCTGCCCCCTGGTGGTCAGTGTGCTCCCACAGGGGGAGCGCTGCTCAGCCAGAAGCCGGACTCATGGCTGGTGAGCACAGTGGCAGTGGCGGGAGCCTCTCCTGCCTCTGCGGCAGCGGCAGCAAGGAGCAGGGAGCAGGCGGGCTGTAAAGAACGAGGGGTCCCGGACTGTGAGAGGGCGCAGGCTGGGCTGAGGGACCCCCCCCCCTTCCAGTGCACAAATTTCATGCACCGGGCCTCTAGTCCAAAAATAAATGTCTACCTCAACACAACTGACTATAGTAGGGATATAGTATCTAAACTAGCTATGAAATAATTTATAGATTTGCTTGTTTGCCTTTATGCCTTCAGTGGCCAGCAGGGAGACTACTAATTTGCCTGCCATTGGGGTACTAAGGGGCATAATCCACGTTCAGAAAATTGAGAGCTGAGCTCACCAGACCTTGCCCCAGCAGATGGTCAGAGGTGGATCAGCAATGTCAAAGGTTTTAGGACCTCATCCCAGCAGGACACATTCATGTTCAGGTTAAGAAACTGAGTCTGAGAGAGAGGCTCACCGAACCCAGACACAACAGCATTGACTTAAGTACACACTGTGCAATGTGTCCTGGGGATTTTCCCTCAGATATTTTGTCTTCATAACTCTGCCGGAAGTCAAACCATCCTGGGTGTTGAATGCCAGTTCTGCCCCTACAACTGTGAGAAGTTACCTGACTTCTTCTCCTCAGTTTCCCCATCAGTGCAATGGGAGTAATAAAGTAGTTATGATTATTATTGTGAAGAAGAAGGACCCCGGGCTCTACCCTCTTTCCTGTAGACTCAGGTCCATGTAGAAACAGCATGACTTGGTGATCACCCCAATCCTCAGCACACCGCACATCTGCTCAACATACAAAAGCCTCCAAGAATCAGGAGAGGACTCCAAAAAAAAAAAAAAAAAAAACAAAAACAAAGGCCTCAAAACAATTTGTGTCTATAGGGAAACAGTGAGCAGTCAGGCCTAGGGGGCAATAAAGAAGTGATGGGGCACTTGGCCAGCACCCACCATTCCCTGCCACCCATCCATGGAGGAGCCAGGCTCTGGGGAATGGCTATCGCCCCTTCTCCTCCCCTTTCTCATAGTATTATGATGACACATTCCCCTCTATGAAGGAGCAGATGGCCTTCGAGAAAAATGTCTTCAATAAGACCAACCGGACTGACAGTAAGTACCCTCCTCTTCCTCGTCCAGAACTCTCAGATACGCCCTGTCCTCTCCATCTGGATACATCTGTCCCCGTCGGGCCTGCACACCCACAGGCCATTTCCTTTTCTTCAGAGGTTCTGTTTTCCTCTCCTTCCCAGCTGTTCATTTCTACGTCTGGGGAACCTTCACATACACACACACACACACACACACACACACACACACACACACCATCACTCTCAAACCTCCCACCGCCTGCACACCTAGACCTTGCTCTCAGGGGAAGAGGCCAACTGAGTTGTGGGCCCCCTACTGGCCTGGGACTGGTCCAGGGCATTGCACATGGTGGGAGCGGGGGGGGGGGGGGGGGGGGGTGCAAGGTCGACCTTGAACTGGGTTTGTTGACTCCTCAGAATGAGGCAATCACTAGAAATAGGGGGTGGAGGGAAGGACACAGCGTAGCCTAATGGTAGTGTCCCTAGTGCTAGTCTTTCCAAGGGTTCCTTAGAAAGGGAGGAATGAAAGAGAGGGAGAAGAGCAGAGCTGGAGATGGGGAGGAGGGGCCAGAACGGAAAGTCTCCTCTACTTCTAGGTGAGATTGCGTTTTTCGGGGGCATGACCATCGTCTACAAGAGCAGCATCGACCTCTTCCTGTACGTGGTGGGCTCATCCCAGGAGAATGAGGTGAATTCAGGAGGTTGGGGTGACAAGGAGGGTCTGTCTGTGGGGGAATGGCTTGGAGTCTGGGGTAGAAGCTGGGTACCCCTCCTTCTAAACTCTGGGGGTTGGTGAGCAGCCAGAATGGTTCTTTCTGGGACAAGGTATACCCATTATGCCCCTTAGGTTCCTTAGGGACCAGAAGTGAAGTTCTCTGCAGGAACTTTTGTTCCTTGTTTTGAGCACCATAGAGAAGGATACTCAGCGTCCCACTCTAGTGCTTCCCAACCCTGCTCCAAGGTCAAGCTGCAGGCAGTCTCAGCCCTGTCGATCTGGAAAGGGACAGTTTCCCACGCAGGTAGACGCTGAGGTCTTCGTTTGGCCTTCCCAATCTCAAGCTCTCTCGTTTCCCTCCTCCCATATATTTGCCCAACCTCAGCTGATGCTCATGTCTGTTCTCACCTGCCTGTTTGAGTCCCTGAACCACGTGTTAAGGTGAGTGAGATCCTCGGCCCTTCAAGGCCCCACCCCCAGGCCTTGATACATCACAAAGACAGGGCTCTTCCTCCATGCTTTTGTCCTGACGTCCCTACCAGACTAAGACTGGAGCTGGAGCGTCCCCCTCCAAGACCTCTGCCCTTTACCTAGCCACATGGTATCACCCGGAGCAGGGCAATATGAAGGTATGGCCAGAAAATGAGGTCTAGAAAAGCGAAATGATTTGCCTGAGGTTACAAATGGTTTATATCACAGCAGAGACTCAAACTCAGGTTTTCTGACTTGAGGCTCAAGGTGGTTTTCACCAGACCCCAATTCAGTTATCCAGTATCTATTCCAGTGGGCATGACCTTAGGAAACCAAAGTAGGAAAATCCAAAAATACATGCATTCCCTAGTCAACACAGTTAAGTATAGTAGAGCTATGGCATCTAAACTAGTTATGAGATGCATCAGGGGTGCCATGGGGGGCACAGCATCAATGCCCCACGTGTAGGAGGTTGGGCAAGGAGGGTTTAAGGCAGCAGGCCTGTCCTCTGCTCGGGAATCCCTTGCACAGGCGATGCCCTCACTGCCCTTGACATTGTCCTTCCCAGTGCTTGTTGGGCGTGTGGTGGGGTGTGGATGGAGAGGGGGGGTCTGTCTCACCTCGGCAGGGACCTGGTTCCTCCTGGCCACGGGGAAGCTCAGCAGCTGTATCTCCTTCAGGAAGAACGTGGAGAAGCGCTGGCTGATGGATAACATGGATGGAGCCTTCCTGGTGCTGGATGAGATTGTGGATGGCGGGTGAGGAGGGGGTGGCCAGGGACACTCACGGAGGGGGGTGCCTTTGGAGATCATCCCCTCTAGATTGTACCCAGCACACTGCTGGCTCCTCTGGCCACCTTCTCCCTCCTTTCCCCAGCATATTCCGGTGATCTCATCCCCCCGCCCCACTCATGAGGACAGAGGTTGAGGTCAGTGTTAGTCTAAGTCAAGCAAACAAGAAAGGGATTTGATGCCCAGCTGCGGCTGGCTGTTGGATAGGCAGGGTTTGGGTGAAATGGTTTGCTCTCCAGAGCCCAGGAGAAGCAGGCAGCAGACACTTGCCCCTCCCTAGAAGGACTTCATTCTGGCGGAGCCCTGTTGCCTCCACACCCCCCACTCTCAGAGCTCCATTCCAACCTTGCCTAGATATGTGGCCTGGGCCGGTTACTGATTCTCCCTGAGCCTCACTTTGCCTGTCTTTCTAATGGGGATGATAAAGGCACGACCTCATAGGGTATGGAGATTAAATAAGGTGATGCCGGTCAAGTTCACGGTTCTCCTTCAATAAATGTCACCTGCGGTTGGTATGCTATTCTTAGGAAGCTGGGTGTCCTTATGAGAAGGGTGGGTTAGTGAATTTCCATGGAGGGAAATAACTGGGGAGAGAATGAAATTCTCACTCAGGGGCAAAGGATACTAGAAACTAATTATCTTAAAAACACCCACACGCTCTATCATTACATCCATTTTAGAGATGAGGGAACAGAGGCTCAGAGATTCAAGTGACTTGCTCAAGGTCACACGGCAGGGCCAAGATCTAAAACCATGGGCATGGTTCAAGATTGGGCTCTTTCCATGGCACTGTACCACACGCCCGGGGGGAGGGGACAGGGAGCTCTGGGAGATGGGGGACTATGGAATTCCTCTCCTTTCCCTCCCCATTGACTTTCTGTTACTGCAAGGCTTTGTGCTAATGGCTGAGACCCAAGAGAGATGGAATAAGACCGGGTTTTGTGGAACCAGAAGTATATACAATTTGGGGGAACCCTTTAAGGAAAGCATGCACACACAATTACAAAATGGGGGGCAGGGCTTAGGACAGACACTGGAGTTCCCATTTCTTTTGTATATGGCACAGAATACTAGTGAAATGAGATAGAGACCCCAAGGGACCTCCCTTCCTTCTCTGAACTTTCCTGAATCCAACCCTGACCCAGAAGGGGAAGTGAACTTTCAAGAGCTCTGAGTGTTCCAGCCCCTGCTTTTGACACCCAGTGTTCCTGGCCTGGACTCACTCTATTGCACAGCTTCTGCCCAATGATGACCAAGTGTCTGACCAGCAGGTTTGAAGTATAGAAGAACCAGAGTTGAGGGGTCTCCATGGTCAGGGAGAGTTCTTCCTTGAGAAATATCAGGGGGAAGGTCCCCTGGAGGGGAATTTTGCAGGATATGGTGGTTGAGGGACGAGGCTTAGCAGCGAGAGGCTGCAGAGGGGAGAATCATGTCACTGACTTCCCTCCTGGCTTCTCTCTCATCGTGTAGCGTGATTCTGGAGAGCGACCCTCAGCAAGTGATCCAGAAAGTGAATTTTAGGGTAAGAGTCCCCTGCATGCCCTTATCTCCTCTAGGCTACCCTTCCCATCCTCCCCGGCTCCTGTCTTCCCTGTGCTGGGGCTGCCAGGGCCTGGGGGGGGGGGGGGCAAGCTCCTCTAGCAGAAGCAATTACTGGGATGATGCACTTGGGGGAGCAGCAGTTTGGGGGTGTCAGTTAGTAAAAGAGATCTGCTGTCCTCCCCCCCTGTAGAATCACCAAGTAGCTCCCCCTCCTCCCTGGTGGGAAATACAGACTGGGGAAATAAACTGCCAGAGAGATACCGGTGGCTGCCTTGGCCTTGAAGTTGGGGAGTGGCAGTCTAGATAGAGTGGCCCTGCCTCGTGTGGCTTTCCTGTCTGAAGTAAACCTTTCCTCCCATCTTTATTCCCTGCATTCCCTTACTCTCCAGGCACCATAGGCAGGGCCTCGGGGGTCCTGGCTTCCAAGTGACAAGGTGCAGGGCTTCCACTCACGGGCGATCCAGGTGCAGTGCCGGATCCCATAACACTGCACCCCTCGCCACCACCCCTTCACCTCCCTTTCTAAGCCCATTACTCCCGCCCTGGCCTGACCACCCTCTGCCACTGCTTCCCCACAGGCAGATGACGGCGGCTTGACTGAGCAGAGTGTGGCCCAGGTAGGCCCCCAACATCTGCCTTGGGCTAGAGGGCGGAGAGCAGCACCTCTGAGGGGGATCCAGCGGGGGCTGTGAAGGCTGAGAATTCAGGGTGCGGGAGGGATTAGACAGTGACAGGCCGTCTGTTGGAGAGTCACGGGAGGCTGCTAGAGTCTCCGGGGTGGTGCCGAGCTGGGCATTGATCATTGACGCACACCCTACTGGCAGCCACCTCATCTCCTGGCTTGGTATCGTTAGACTGAAACCCTGCGGTAAATGCCTGCCCTGGAGATGGCTGGGTCACTTTTCCCCAAAGCAATCCCGGGGTGCAGGCCCTGATGCTCCCCCTCGCCCAGAAAGGACAACAAATAGGAGTTTTCCTCCAAACCCTCACCCCTCAATGTTAAGGTCCAAGCTGTAATTGTTTAGGGACCCTGGAGCCCGTGGTAAGATCTCACTTGCTCTACTCCTCACTTGCCACCTAGCCCCTGGCTGTGGAAAACTCCATCCCCGCCAGTCCCCTGCATGGTCCTAACTGGGGGTGCATGTGGGGCAAGGGGGAGGTCCCTGGATCTGTGGCTTGACAGTTTCCCAGCTGTGCAAACTTCCTGCTTATCAGGCTGACTGCTTGACCTCCGTCTGTCTGCCCGCAGGTCTCTCTGCACAGACTAATCCTGGTTTTATGGAGCTTCCTGCCCTGGCACTAACTCCCTCCTGCTGTGGTGGCCCAGGCCTAGATGGGTGTGTAGCATCCGTGCGGAGCCCTGGGTGTGCTGCTCACTTGCCTGCACTGCCCTGGTGCTCACCCTGCCTCTCCCTCTTCGTGGCTCCCAGGCCTCCCCCTACCCTGCCGGGAGGAATACAGACAGCCCTGCGGCAGTTTCAGGTCCAAAGAGGTTAGGGAGCATGAGCAGAGCAGGCACAGGCATGTATGTTCCGCTTTGCCACCTAGAATCTGGGTTACCGAGGGCAAGTTTCTCAGCCTCTCTGGGCCTCACACAATCATGGGACACTCCTCACAGAGTTATCATGAAAACTAGGTGAGCCAGTGCATGGAAAACTCTTTGCCCAGCTCCTCCTTTTCCAAAGGGAGAAAGAAGGAAGACACAGCCCTTTTAATGGAATTCTTGAGTAAAAACCAAGAAAGTCGCAGGGAGCGAGCGAGTGGAGGATGAAACCAGGAGAAAGTTGGATTCTGGCAAGAAAAGCAGGAGTACCCCCCCCCCCCCCGGGCCATGCTGTCCCTGAGAGAGGAAGGGAGACTGTGCAGGAAGAAGGGACACACATTGGGGGACGAGCCTTCAGAAGGGGGTGAGGCTGGGTGGCAGGAGGGACGACCGGAGAGGCATACGTGGCGTCACCACCGTGTTGGGGCTGTGTGCGCGCCTTGGTACGCCTTTGCGTCAGCACTGGCCTGCGGTTGTTTCCTCAGCTGCAGGTGAGCCTGCACGACCCGGGCGCAGGTGTCCCGTGGCTGTGTCTGGCCAGCCACTGTTGGCCAGCTGTGCCACATCAGCAGAGGGTGGGGCTGGGTGTGGAGGACAGACACACTGCCAGCCAAGGGCAGACCTAGAGTTTTGCTCAGGCAGCGTCAGGCTGGGCCCAGTGTCTGCCTGGACGTGGCACTGTGGGCAGGAGCTAGCATGACACGGTATGGGAACGACAGAGCCTGTCGCCACACCCACCCCTGCAGATGCAGAAACCAGAGGGCCGGGCAGGCCTGGGCCCGGGCTGGGAGCTGCCTGCAGCCAGTTTGGACTGCGCTTTCCTCTGGCGCCCTATCCCCTGCTTAAGTCAGGTAGAGATGAGCTGCTGTCACCTAGTGACCAGGAGTTGCAGGGACACAGGGGAGGTGGGCTGTAGCCCCCCCCCTGCAGTATCAAGGCATTGACATTCCCCTGAATTCTTTCTCTCAACCTTCCTCCCCACCCCAGGTTCTTCAGTCTGCCAAGGAACAAATTAAATGGTCATTACTGAAATGAAGGCTGTGCATTCGAGGCTCCCTGCCCCCAGATAATTTCCCCCAATCCTGGCAAAAACTCCGAGACCCCAGGGGATAGGAGAGGCCCCTCTGTATGCCCAGGACCTCCCAGAACCAACTCCCGAGGTCTCGGGGCAGAGACTCTGAAATGAGAAAAAAATTGGCTTTAGCACCGAGTCACCACTTCTCACTGCCCTGGCCTGCTCCTTGGGCCTCGAGAACCAGCCGAGTTAAACTCAGACCTTAGGCATCCCTGAACCCAGAGCCCTAATAAACCTGTTCTTGTCTCCTGCCAATGGTCTCCTCTCTTGGCCGGGGAAGCGTGTGTGTATGTGTGTGTGTGGTCCGTTAAGGGTTCCTGCACTTTCTTTGCCTCGTCTTTAGGATGCCCATTACCAGGGCATATCCCAGTGGTTGTGTGACTGGGGAGAGGTAGGTCAAGGGGAGGGGACACTTTAACATAGCGAGGGGGTGTGGCAGGAATACCACGAGGCCCCATAGGTGGTGGTACGTTTGCGTGACACGGTAAATAGTAATCGGAGAAATGGCACACATTTGGGAAAAGGAGACCAAAGATGGCACACGTGGTGGGCCCGCTGGGGATTCTGTGAGTCACTTTTCTATGACCAGCCTCCAGAAGGGAAGGGCGTAGGGCTTCCTGGGGACAAATTGAGGAACAGCGTGCCTGTTGTTCTTGGCATGTCTGGGACTGTGGAATTCTTAAACTGGCATGCACCCTGGGCACTGGAGCCCTGCAAGCTTGCCATGGCTGGGCCCGGATGCTGGGGGCGAGCGTATGTGTCCAGAGCACCCAGTGCACTCCAGGGGGTGTGAAGAATTGATTTCAGGTCTGGTGGAGAGAAGGATGGAAGGACTTTCTGGGCGACGTGACTCCTCTTTTCTCGCCCCGTCCCAGGCCTCCCCCCACCTTCGTTTCTCCCCTTCTTCCTGTGACGCCTATACTTTCTGCGTCCATGTACCTAAGTCCCCGGAAAACTTGTTTCCCTGGATCCCATGCTAACTGCAGCCGCCAGTCCCCGTCCCGCCCCGGCCCCGCCCCTCGCTGGCGCCCTGGCCGAGGGGAGCCCCGCCCCAGGAGCGCATCCGCGATCCTGTAGCGCCACCTGGAGGTAAGTAGGGGAAACGCGCCCCCTCTGGGTCTCGCTCCCTGACTAACCCCGCCCCCCAGGGCGGGACCCACCCCGGCTCCTGCCGGATCCTGCAGAGGCTCCTACACGGCGACCAGCTTCGCACAAACAACCGCCACGCTGGACCCGCCCTGCGAGTTCCCCGCCCGCGCGGGCACAGGAACTTCCGCCAGCAGCTACGGTAAAAACGCCGCGAGCCCTGGGTGTTAATTGAAGCTGTCGCTGCGGGTTCCACGCCCTTCATTACAAACCCCTCTAAGATGGGACTTTTATAATGGGCACGACTATTTCTGTAATTGGAGAAAACGATCAAGATGTAGTTATAGAAACATATACAGTGTATAACCCATTCCAGTAAATAATGCCAAACGGCAGCTCTGAAAGGGAACAGAGAGTATGCAATTAAAGGCTGTGGAGTTCAGGGGCCAGTGTGGCGACGGGAAATGAGAAATTTTCCAGAAATACTTTGGCAAATATGCGGCCTCATCCGGTGTCCGGCTGCATCCACCTCTAAAAGACCACAAGGACGGGAAGGGCAAATTCGCTTCCTAGCAACCCGGTCGCGCCCTCCCGGGCCCTGCAATCCCAACTGTGCAGGAACAGGATGGTGAGGGCCCGGCGTTTCCCACACACTGGCTCATTGAATCCTGCGGACTGTGCGACGCTACCCCCATTTCGCGGAGGGGCACACTGAGGTCCGGCAAGGTCAAAGTGTCTGCAGCAGTTTCCGCAGAGCGGGCTCGGGAAGGGCGCTGCTGGGGAGAGGTGGTTTTCTCGCACCCCTGCCCGGGGCCGCCCGAACTCCTCGCCCACACGGAGACTGTTCTGGGTTAAGGGGAATGAGCCGAGGGGACAGCCATGCAGGGAGGCGATCAGGTGTCCTCGCCCGCGGTTGCCGCCGACCTAAGCCCGCAGCGGGAAAGAGGGCGGCGCAAAAAGGGCTGAACCCGGGAGGACCAGCGGGGAGGGGATGCTGCTCCCTCCCAGGGAGCCCAAGTGTGCAGGCCCGGCCCCCCGGGGGCGGGGGGAAGACCCCTTTGAGTCCCCGGCCCCCTCTCGGCGCCCGCAGCCCCGCGGAGCCCCCGGGACGGCGGGCCTGGCCGTCTGCCCGGAGCTGACCGCTGGCACCGGCTCCGCTCAGACGGCCTCATTAGCGCGGCCGCAGGCGCGAGCCACGGGCGCGGAGGGATCGCGGAGCAGCGGCTGGGCGTGGCGCCGTCTGCCCAGAACCGGGTTTCGGGAAGAGCAGCCGGCGGTTCCCGGCGCGAGCGGCCTCCGGGGCCTGCCTTCCCGGCTGCTCTCACCCCAGGCCCCGCCCCGTCGTTCTGCATCCCTCGCCCCGTTGATCTCCTGGGCGACCCAGAGGATCTTGAGTACATGGAGGGGAAGGGGCTTCTGGGAACCCCTTTCCTCCTGCTGAACTGGCACCGGGGCACTTCAGAGACCCCCTGAGCCTGGGCCCAGCCAGAGGGCGCACTCGGAGGCACTGCTGGGGGAAGGGGGGCTCTGGTGCAGGGGGGGCGCCAGCCCCACCTTCACTGGGCTAGGGACACCGCGGTGGTGCCTCTTTATACCGCCGTGCGCCAGCCACGCCTCTCCGCGCCCCCTGCCTCGCAGCCATTGGCTGGCAGGGAGCAGAGCTGGTCCGATTGGCTTGCATCCAGACAGTGATGAATGGCCCCCTGCTGACCGGACCCCCTGGAGAGGGCGGCGGTGTCTTTACCTTGCAGCTCGCTTAGGTGAAGGCGGGGCTGGCCAGGTCTGGGGGGGGCGGGAGGGGGAGACCCCCCTATAGTGCGAACTCTCTGGGCCCTCAATCTCCATTTGAAACGCTACCGAGAGAAAATATCTTATCTTTGAATTCCCGGTAGAAACCCTTTAACTCCTGAACCTGATGTAGGCAAAGTAGAAAGAAGAATAATTTACCCTAAGCACTTTGGGCACAGCCCTACAGACCTCCCTTTCCCTCCAAACTGGGTCTCATTCACTTAGCAATATTCGTGCGTTCCTTTTGTTCATTCGTTTGTTCATTCATTCATTCATTTATTCAAATATTTGAGTGTTTGTCATAAGCCAGGAAGGGGGGGTGGGTGACGGGGAGGGGGGAGAGGGAGGGAGGGAGACTGACTCACCAGTGATTGGGCCCAGATGTGGTAGTGGGATGGGGGTGAAAGGTTGGAAGGAGAGAAGGGATTTGAGAGATATTTCAAGGTAGAAATACCTTTTTAACTCAAAGGATGTTCTATGCCTTGATCTGAGTGGTGTAACATCAAATCGATGTTTCTCCACTTACATCTAAGATGTGTCTTCTTTCTTGTAGGTAAGTCATATTTCATTTAAAAAAGGCACAAAATCCAATGGCTGCCAAATTTTACTCTATCAACAACATTTGTATAGTCCTCCTTTGTCTCCTCCTCTCTTCCTCCTCTCTACCAACTAAAACTGGGAAATATCTTAGATGAGGATCCAAAGAAATGGGAGCGATAGTGGAACCCACGTGGACTTCAGGCTGTACACGCAGGTGAGTGGATCCCTCAAAGCGGACTCGCTGGTAAAAAGAGGGGGGGGGGGGAGCAGTATTAATAAAATAAAAAAAGGACGTACTAGTAAAATAAAGTCTCTTTTGGAATAAATTCTTCTAACAGACATTTCCTAACTGGCTGTCCTGAACCAGGCACCTGGCTGGGGCTTGGTGGGGGCTGCTCAGCTGAATTGGAAGACAGATCCTGACCCAAGAAGCTTACAACAGGACTGGAACAAAGTCCTGAATGAAATCATAAACATTGACCGAGGACATGGCGTATTACATGGTATTTGACAGAGAGAAGTCAGTGTAAGAGACACTAAACGGGGAGCAATAATACAAGCAAAGAAAGGAGGCAGAGAACCTGTCTGGGGGGCTGCAGGGAGGCATATGTGTGTCTCCGTGGGAAAGCTGGGTGTGTTGAGGTTTCTCCCGAGGCAGGCTGTAACGGGATCAAGGCGAGTGTTGAGCGACATGTGGAAGAATAACTGTCGTTTGCTGTTTACTACTTTGTACAGCTTAGAAATACCATTGTTCTCAAAACAACCTAACAGAGTAGGTGTTGGTCGCCCCGTTCTTATAACCGAGGGCAAAAGAGTTTGGGTAATTTGCCTCAGGGCACAGAGGTGAGATTTTAAACCCATTGCTGGTCTGACTCCATTGCCAATAGCTTTTTGCTCCAGCCACAGAGCTAAGGAGCTGGGCTTGCATTCTGAAGGTAATGGGGCCGTTGGAGATTTTCAAGCAGTTACGTGATATCAACTCTGTGTTTTGAGCAAGGAACTCTGTCAGTGACACGAAAGATGGACTAAAGAGGGGGAATAAGAATTTAGGGTCAATGTATGATCCACAGAAGGCAATTGTTTTTTTTGTGTGTGTTTTGTTTGTTTGTTTTTATCCGATTTGAGAGAGAGAGAAACATCAATTTGTTGTTGCACTTACTTATGCATTCATTGGTTGATTCGATTCCTGGCCTGGGGTCGAACCTGCAACCTTGATATATCAGGATGACACTTTAACCATTCGAGCTACCCAGCCAGGGCCCAGACGGCAACTGTTTTCATTACAGTCGCTACTCATTCTTTATATAAAACAGTGCCCTGCAGCTTGATTGTTGATTGTGTCGCCAAACCACTTGCAAAAATCAAGTCCATCCAGAGTTTGAATTAATTTAGATAATTGTGAG